TAGGTCATTTGCAAACTGAAGGTGGGTAACTGGGATTTGGTGTCTCCCTATTCTCCAACCCCTAATGGCATCTTCACTATCAGCCTTAGTAATGATCCTACTAATCACATCGGCTACTAATGTAAAAAGAAAGGGTGATAGTGGATCCCCTTGCCTGACACCCCTGCAAGCTGGAAAAAAGTCCCTCACCACACCATTTACCAGAATGGAGTAGTGACAGGTACTGATACACCCAGATATCCAACTGCACCACTTATCCCCAAATCCACAGTTTCTCATCACCTCTAATAAAAACTCCCAGTCTACCAAGTCATAGGCCTTTTCAAGATCCAATTTACAAATAAAGCCACTTTGCCTAGACCTTCATTTCCTCCGCACACTCATTCGCAATTAGGATCTGATCTGTAATTTGTCACCCTTGAATGAAGGCCCCTTGAGTCTCACTAATGATAGAAGGGAGAACTATTCCTCAAAGAAAGCACTTTAGCCAGAATTTTATAGATGCTTGTCACTAGACTAATAGGCCTGTAATCTTTTGGGTGGTTGGCATCAATCTTCTTATGAATCAGGGCCAAAAAGTGGCATTGATTCCAGGGCTTATTACATGATTATCTACAAATTCCTTAACACTTCAACTAAATCCTCTTTCAGCACCTCCCAGTAGTCTTGATAAAAGCCAATTGTAAAGCCATATGGACCTGGCGCCTTGGATCTATCCATTAGAAAGACAACTCTCTTAATCTCTTCTTCCTCGAAATTCCTTTCCAACCACCTTGCCATTCCGTCCTCAATTCTTGGCCACTCCATCCCTCCCACGACTGCTCTCTCACTCAAAGGTCTTCTATAGATCGATTTAAAATGGTCCACAAATTTTCTGGCTATATCATCCTGGTTGGTAATCACCTCCTCTCCTATCTCTAGCTTGGTCACAAAATTCTTTCTTCGCCTTCCATTGGCCAAGTCATGGAAAAATCTAGTGTTCCCATTGCCTTCCTTAATCCAATTGTGTCTAGATTTTTGTCTCCAGGTAATATCTTCCCTCAATAACACCTCTTCCAAATCCTTTTTCAACTGTCTCCTTAACACTCTATCATCCTCAGTCAAAACATTTTGGGATTCCTTAACATCCAGGTTTTCTATTCGAAAAATTAGGCTCATTTTTTGCTCCTCAATTCTGCCAAAATGTTGTCTATTCCATTCTTTTATTTTGGCCCTCAATCTCTTCAACTTCTTATGAAACTTGACCCCTTTCCATCTTACCCCCCTCACCTCTTCACCCCACCATTCCTTTACTTTTTTCACAAAATCTGGATGGGTAAGCCACATATTTTCAAATCTAAAAGGTTTGGGTCCAGTAGGAAAAGTCTCAGTGCCTATCTGGATAGGACAGTGATCAGAGGTGACCCTAGGTAATGCTCTAGCAACCAAGTTTTCCACACTATTATCCCAGGCTAGGTTAAACAAGAATCTGTCCAACTTTGAATACAAAGGGGTTTCCTGAAGGTTGGACCACGTTAAATTGGTTTGCAACAAAGGTATTTCCTTCAACTCACAATTTTCAATAAAGCCATTGAATTTCCTCATACTTGTTGTAATTACCTATTGGGGATTACTGGTTTCCTCAGAGAATCTAATGACATTAAAATCCCCGCCCAAGCACCAAGGGTCATCCCATAACCCCTTGATTGCTTATAATTCTTCCCACATCTCATTTCTCTCTCTATAAGAGTTTGGGCCATAAACGTTGGTTAGTACCCATACACACCCATCCTCAACATTCTTAACCTTAATGGAAACGGAGAATCTGCCTATCAATTCTTCCGCTACTTCCACCGCATCCTCCCTCCACAATGTTACAATCCCCCCCTCGAGGCTCCTCAGGAAGGAGACAAAGTCCAACCTACACCTCTAGACCTCCAGAAACTCCTGACCCATCTCCTATCTAATTCCATTAGTTTGGATTCTTGTAATAGCACAATGTCAGGTTTTTCCCTTCAAAGTAGATCTTTAATAACCCTTATCTTGTAATAGCACAATGTCAGGTTTTTCCCTTACATTCTAGTTGATAGTTTTCATCCATGAACAAGTCTTAGTCTCCTTATTTTAGACCCTTCCTCCTCTCCCCTCTGCCACTAAATTCTAAATCTCCCTCAATATCTGAAATTAACCTTTCCACTTCAGATCTTTTTTTCTTCTTTATTCCTTCCCCCCCTCCCCTCCCCTCTTGATACAATAAACATCCTCTTCCTTTTCTCCATCCTTTCCATCCACTGTCTGAAAAAGAATCTTACCATGTCACACTCATAATGGCTACAACAGCTCTCTAAAACTCCTTCCTTCTTTTTTTGTTCCTCCAGCAATTCACAAATCAAATCCCAGATTCTGTCTGCCTCCCCCTTACTACTTCCTTCTACCAGCCTCTCTCCTCCTCCCACTAGTACCTTCTCTCTTACATCAACACCTTCTAGATGGGAAGCTGGTATATCTGTTACAGGCATAGCACACAAGTCAGTACCCAAAAAAGAAATGACACCCATACCTGGTAGGACTAGGGTTGGATTAGGATCACTGGATTTGAGTTGCTGACAGGCTTCATTTGGTTTCAAGGCCTTTCCCCTTTCTGGACACTGTTGTGAAGTAGACGCAGGGATAGTATCATTTCCTGACAACCTACCCACTTGGAATTCCTTTCTCTGTGTTTCCTAGACTGGATTACCCACATCCATCCTCACGGCAGATTTTTGTCCCTCTCCACCAAAATCATGCATTTCATTAGTTGTAGTCTTCCCGCAGCCTACAACTTCGATCTCTTCCTCTATAAACAGCAGCTCTGTATGTAGACTTTCTGTTTCAAGTAGTTCATTGTTGCTTTCCAGATTCACACTTCCCAAACTTACAGTTTCAATACTATCAGAATCGTCCCTGCTGTCTTGACCACTCGACCAATCTTCAAGCTCTGCTGTTAGTATCTCTATGTTTCAGACTTCTTGGATTGCGCCTTTCAGGTGAAAAACGATTCGCCATGTTGGAGGGAACCCATTGTAGAGAGCCACGAGACTGAGAAGCTTGAGACCTTGCGCCTGTAGCATTCAGCCGAAAGGAGGGATTCAAAGTAGAAGAAGATAGACGCCTGTTATCGTCCATCAACTCATCCCTCCTCCCAGTCACATGAGACTTTAAAAATTCCCTTGGCCCATCTTTCCTGGATTGGGCCTTGGGTTCGAACCCTTTAAAAGGAGCATTTTTTACTTGGGCTATTTTCTTCGGCCCACCAGGAATGGGATCCACTCGAATGGGCCCACTTTCTACTCCTTTCTCTCTCATGTGACCTTTTAAGAGGTCACGCCCCCCTATTTTAAACAACAAACCAACAACCTTCCCTTTTGAACCAAACTGAGGTTGCTGGTTCAACCTTCCCCCCTTACCCACTTGGAAATTTTTGTCTTTTTCCCCTGAAGCCACCTGCACATAAGATCTGCCACATGTTTGAAAACTTCCTTTCTCTCTACAGGTTTGACATTCCATTTGAACTAGCCAATCTCATGACTCCACGTAAAGCTTCTTCTTCCTCTTTTTCACCTCCTTCCACTGCCCTGCTTCAATGGAGGATGCTATCCACACAGAGACGAAGCTCCCCTCTGTTCGTACCTCTACCTTTCGTGGAATATCTTCTGGCTTCAACCACTTAGTATAATTGCTGCTGAATAAAGGTCATCCCAGAATGCTCTTTCTAAGAATCCTCCACACAAAACTGCAATGGATTCTGCTACTTCTTGTTTCCACAGATGAAATGGCAGGCCTATTAAATGCACCACCACACCATCTTCGACAAAAAAGTCCTTGGAGTTAGCTGTTGGACTCCATTTGAAAACTGTGAATGATCCTAGCTCATCCTGAATATTGAGGGCTGAAATTTCCACTTCATTCTCTACTGGGTCTAAGAGGGCTTTGCAGTTATTGAAAGGGGTTACTATGAAGACTCTTTTCAGCTTCAGCCTAGTTTTCAGTAGATCAGCTACCCTCTTCCAATCTTTGACCTGTTCCTTGGCTTGTATCACAAACTTACTGTCCCAATCTTTCCTCTCTAGACTACCCACTATTCTGCATTGGCCTTTTGTTTTTGCCATGACCAATGGCTCTTGCTCTACCCTGTTGTTGCTCTGGCATTCCTTCTCTTTCCCTGTGAAATCTTCTTTTTCACTTGATATTCTTTGAGCTAAGAACTCTTTGAGCAACCTGTCAACTTCTCCCCATCCTTGGCTCTGTTTTCCTGCTAGCAAACACACCAGTTGCCTTCGTCCCTTGCCAAAGTATTCAGTCAAGGCTATGAAGGATCATTTTGTGTTCCTCTTGCATTCAACTACATATCTTCTCCCTTCTAATGTACTAATTTCCTGCCGGTTTATCTGCTTGCCTTTTGAACAAGCTCCAGCTATGAAACCTCTTAGCCACTCAACCACTTCTAATCCTTCCAGCAGTAGTGTACCCTTTTTTTCTTCCCTTACCTTCAGACTTACCTTCCCTTTGATTCTCATTTCTTCGATCAAAATATTTTTTGCCTCTACCTTCAAGGATCTCCTCCACCGACCTGCTTGCACGGACATGAAAACTGTCCTGGATGGGATTTGCATAGTACATGTTAAAAAGTAAGCAACTGTCTAAGCCTTGTGGAGTTGCTAAAATGAAACAAAGAGAAGAAGATTTAGAAAGAATAGGGCTGAGAGTCTGTCAGTATCGAGAGACCCAAGTGCCGCCCTTATAACTTATATTCATAAGAAGTTAAAATTACACAATTATCCCTGATTATGTGACTTAAGAACAGAGGCTATAAGAACCATAAATAAAAGAGGAAAAAGACTAAGTTGACCCTGCACAAACACTATAATTTAACAATCAGGTCCTTTTGTCCTAGGATTGTCAGGGGGAAGATTTGAATGGGTTGTCTAGGCTACCACAAAACTATGTAAGTGGACCTCACATTTGAAAATTTATTTGTTCAGATTGAAGGTGCCTTTGTACAAGGAATTGGTTTCTTCATGCTGGAAGAGTACCTCAGCAACTCAGATGGGTTGGTTGTATCGGAGGGTACATGGACTTACAAGATCCCAACCATTGACACAATACCAAAACAGTTCAATGTTGAGATCCTGAACAGTGGGCATCACCAAAAACATGTTCTCTCCTCCAAAGGTAAATTCTGATTTACTGAGCAATTATAAGACTCAATTAACCAGCTATTTAATTACTGAAAATATTCAAGTCTCCCCACCCTTGGTACAAAATGTGGAAAAAAAGAGTATAAAAGCAAGGGAGTAGCCCTTCCCTTGTTTTCATCTAAGGGGGGAGGACCACCCTCAAACTTTTTAAGTAGAATGCTTTTTTTGGCTAGCCAATCATCAACAGTTACCTTCCCTCCAAGAGTGATAGAATTGCTACACTTTGCAATGCGGAAAGCCTTAACTGTATTTAAAATGTTCATGATCAGTGACCCGGTTCTTCATGATATCCTAGAAGAGTTTCCTGGGCTTTTGATGATTATTTTCGTGTCACCTTATAAGTGAACCTGATTCACTACCAGCTCCTTGGCCATAACCAATCTCAGCCCAACACTAGCATCACAACTTTCTGCAACTGTTACTGAAGATTTTGACAAGAACCTTGATTTGGATTTATATGCTCATCTCAGCAATCTCTAGCAATCATCCCATGACTTCTTCTTGTTTCTCTCAACTGCCATATTAAAGTTAAATTTAATAAATGGATGGTGGGGAGGATAACTAACAAGGGCTTCTCTAGGAGATTTTTTGGGTTCAGGTAGTATATTGACAAATTGAATTTTGTTGGAATTTTGGAAAGCTAACTCTTAACTATCAATGCTATAAGGATTATCTATGATTTGATAAAAAATACACTGTTTGTGCATATTAAGATATACCATGAGATGAAAACAACCCTTTGAATCATATAGGGTCCTTAAGAATTGAAAACAAACTTGGAAGAAATGAAGAAGATAAAAAAGAGAAAAAAAAGAGAAGTCAAAGAGATTGGAGAACCAAAAATGTGAGCAGTGGATCCCAACCACTCGTTATTTTATTAGAGTGAAGATAACTAAAGATGAGTTGAGAAATACACCTGCAGTAATTCAAAAAATATAGAAAAGAAAGAAAGGAAGGAAGAGAAAGGAGAATAAAGGGTTCCAGCAGTAGGTTGTGGAAGAAGAAGAGAAGGGAAGAGAGAAAAGAAGAGTTTGAACCTCTCTCTCTAGTCCTCTTGATCTCTTTTATTAACTTAATTCTAAAATTGAGTACAATTACCTGGATGTCCTTAATGAGGCGGCCAGCACTAAAGGAATAATTAAAGAAAACAAAAAAAAAACCATAACTAAGGTCCATAACCTTAAACACTACTTAAAAGAAAAGAAAACACTAAGGCCAGCACTGAAGCCACTCTTCTCCGTATAAAGTGTCTATCTACCTCAATGTGCTTAGTTCTATCATGTTGAACCGGGTTTTGAGCAATATAGCCGCCTGGTTATCACAATACAACCTCAGTGGCTCCTCACATGAAACACCCATCTCATCAAGGAGAGATCTAAGTCATAACAACTCAGACACCCCATGGGCCATAGCCCTATGCTCTGCCTCAGTTGAAGATCTAGCAACCACTGACTGCTTTTTACTTCTCCAGGAAACAATATTTCTGGCTATCATAGCACAATAACTTGATGTGGATCTCTTGTCATCTACATTTACTGCCCAATCATCATTTGTATATGCTTCTACCATCATGTGGCCATGTTTAGCAAATAATATTCCACTCCCGGGGGTTCCCTTAAGATAGCATAGCGTTCTTTCTACAATAGCCATATGTGTCTCTAGGAGCATGCATGAACTGGCTGATGACACTCACAGCATATGGAATGTCTGGACAAGTCATACATAGATAAAGAAGTTTCCTAGTAATCTCTGAAACACTCCCTTGTCAGTTAAAAGTTATCCATCATTAGTTGAGAGTTTATAATTTACATCAATAGGGGTAGAGGGAGGTTTAGCACCAAGTTTTCCAGTCTTAGTAAGAAGATCCAACACATACTTCTACTGAGAAATAAAGATACCATCTTTGGACCTAGCAACCTCAATGCCAAGAAAATACCATAACTCCTCTAAGTCTTTGACCTCAAATTCAGAATTGAGAAACTTCTTGAGAGCACTAACTTCTTCTGTATCATTGCCAGTAACCACATATCATTTACATAAACAATAAGGAATGTCACCAAGGTGCTTCTTCTCTTAACAAAGAGTGTATGATATGATTGAGTCTGAGTGTAGCCGAACTGAACAAGAGCAGCCCTAAACCTGTCAAACCAAGCACGTGGAGAACTAGAGATTGTTTTAGGCCATAAAGTGATTTCTTCAATCTACACACCTTACCTTGCATCTCTTTGCCATATATACTAGGAGGAAGGGACATATATACCTTTTCGGTGAGATCACCATTCAGGAATGCATTCTTAACATCCAACTGATACAGAGGTCAATCATAGCTCACTGCTAAGGATAAAAGAACTTTCATCGAGGTCATTATAGCAGTTGGAGAAAAAATCTTAGTGTAATCTATCCCATATACCTGGGTATATCGCTTAGCAACAAAACAAGTCCTATACCTCTCAATTGACCCATCTGCATGATACTTGATAGTGAAAACCCACTTGCACCCAATAGGTTCCTTACCAACTGGCAAGGCAACAATATCCCAGGTATTGTTTTTATATGAAGGTTTTCTATTTCAGTCCTCGTAGCATCCCTCCATTCTGGTGTGGCTAAGGCTTCTGAAACAGACTTTGGGATGGGTTGAAGGGAAATGGAGGTTAGAAAGGCATAGTAGGATGGGGACAACAAGCTATAGGAAAGGTGTTTGGAAATACAATGAGTTGTACATTTCCTTTTACCTTTTTCTCAAAGCAATGGGTAGGTCAAGGTTTGGAAACGAGGGTGCTAGTGGAGGAAGTTATGGACGTGTCCTCTCTTCAATAATTGGAAGCGCCTGAGACTCAATTGGAGGTGTGGGGTCGACCTATGTTTGCCTTAGCCTTTGCTGCTAGTACCACCTCTGGAGAATAGGATGGGTGGTAAATACTGGAGGACTTGTAGGAGGAGGGGGAGGAGCAAGAATGGAAGACCTCAAAGGAGAGGATCCCTCCACAGGAATGGGGATAATTGTGGAGGGCTCGACACAAGACTTAATTAGAGTTGGCAAAGGAAGGGATTAAGAAAACAACTCAAGAGGTCTCTCCCCCAGAAGAACGATTATAAAAGGGAAAGGCACAAACTCTGATGACATCCATGAATACAAACTAGGTGCCACTAATGGGATCAAAACAATAGTACCCTTTTTGCGTGGAGGCATAACCAAGAAAGATACACTTCTGAGCCTTAGGGTCAAATTTATGCCTCTTAGAACTGGGAATGTGGACATAACAAGTACAACCAAAGACCAATAGAGGAATGGAGAAAATCTCAACACTAGGAAAGAGGACTCCAAAAGGAGATTTTAACCCCAAGACTCGAGAAGGCATGTTGTTAACAAGGAAGGCAGCTGTTAAAACTGCATCACCCCAAAACTTAATAGGAACATGGGTAGCAAAAAGGATGATCCTTGCAAATTCCACAATATGTTTGTTTTTCCTCTCTGCTACTCCATTTTGTTGTGGAGTGCGGGCACAAGAACTCTGATTAACAACCCCAAACTTCTCAAGATAGGAGGTAAGGTCCTTCTCAAAATATTCCTTAGCATTGTCCAATTGGAATATTTTGATGCAGGTGTTAAACTGAGTATGTGTTCATGGAACTGTTGCACAAGTTTAGGCACTTCAGCACGAGAGCACATAAGGTAAATCAAAGTATATCATGAAAACTCATCAATAAACATGATGAAATATCTAAAGTCACCCATACATGGTAAATGGTAAGGCCCCCACACATCAGAGTGAACAATATTAAAAGAAATAGTCGATCTTTTATCACTTGAAGGATAAGTGTTCTTACAAGGCTTCGAGAACTCATAGGACTTGCAATGTAGATTCAATAGACTGATTCCTTTAAATAACTCTAGAAACAACTGACTCAATGAAGAAAAAGACAAATGACCTAAACGACTATGACATAACATAATATGACTAATGGACTAAAACAAATGTAGTTCTCTTAGGTTGTACTTGGCTCTGCTCAGGCATGTCTAACAAATAGATCCCATTCGCCTCATGGCCACTCCCAATCACCTTCTAAGATTTCATGTCCTGAAAAACACAAGAGGAAGGGAAAAAGGTCACACTACAATTCAAGGATTTAGTCAAATTACTAACTGAAATCAAATTGGTATTAAGTTTAGGTACACGAAGAACAGATGATACGGTCAGGGCATTAGAGGTCTTAATGTCTCCCTTTCCCGTGATAGGGGCAAGAGAGCCATTAGCAAGGGATATCTTATCCTGGCTAAGAAGGAGTTGATAAGAGGTGAATAACTATGAAACACTGGCTATATGGTCAGAAGCACCAGAATCAATTATCCAAGGGGTTTTATGAGCACCTAAGATAAAAGCATGATGAGCAGTGGCACGAATACCTGAGTGAGCATATGTAGAGGAAGAACAGTCTCTGAAGGAGTTGTAGTAGTGGACTCCAAATGACTGATTATTCGGCCATACTTCTCATACTTAGCCCTAGCGGCTGTAAGCTGTTCTACCACCCACTTCTCTCTACCCTGTCCTTGTTCACCTTATGAGGAGTGGGTTACATTTGCATTTTCACCTTTTCTAGTTTCAAACCTTTTTCCACCATTTTCTTTCTTGAGTTTGGCAGGAATGAGCTTTGGATGCAGCTTCCAACAGGTGTCTTTTGTGTGTTTAGGCTTCTTGCAATATTCACAAATAACATCTTTCTTTCCAGTGTTAACCTTCGGCTTCATCCCAGCATTGGGATAATGATCAACCTGTGGCTCGACAGACTGAACCTGTCTTCTTCTCTCCCCACTGCTCACCATAGCATACACCTGAGACAGTCACCCCATCCTTTGCTAAAACATTCTGCCTCACAATATCATACTCCGAGTTGAGTCTGGTGAGGAACTCAAAGACCCAATTTCTCTCCATCAACTTCCTATATGTTTTTGCATCCTTTGTGCAACCCCAAACA